AGATATGAATGTTGCAAGTTGCAAGAAAGAAGGTTTCTCATTATAAGGAAGCATGATGTTTGTTATCCTTGTCTCAACTTCCTCTCTAACATATATAATATCACACTCCTTTCATGAAGCAACAAATCAAAATAACACGAGTATTCATGAATCAACAAATCAAATAGCATCCCTCATGGGTGGTCTAGTTGATGTAGATCAATAAATCATTGATTAGTGATAATATTATTTAATACACTCTATACATCACAAATCAACTTCCTTCCCACGAACTGACTCCTTGTATCCGCAAAGCATCAAGAGGGTATTTGGCGTAAATACTCTGACGCTCAATTCAGTTCACACGCTGAAATTAGAAACCTTCTATGCGGTCGTGCACAAGAATATTACGCAAAGTAAAAAGGATTTTCATAATTTTTTTGTGGTGTATTTTTCATAGAACAAATTAATTAGCTTTCCTCCAAAAATTGGGATAATAAAAGTTAGGATACAACTAAAATCCAACTAGATGATTTCTAGATACGCGAAGATCTATTTTCCTTATATGACATGGCCGATCTCCTTTAAACAGTCTTCAACAGCTAGGATTTCCTCGTCCTTGCAGACCGCCGACGTGCAAATTTGCCACCATCGGTCATCAGTATATAGTCAGCGTCCAAGGGTCCTAACTCGAGCTGAACTACTATGATGAATGATCACTAGCCCTAACTGAACCGATAGATTGAGCTTACTATCGAGATGATTAGTTGAATATATCTTATTATTTGTCCAAACGGAAGATACTAACCGTCGATTTGTACCAAAATAAACTAAAATAAAATATAAAACAAAAATCAGAAATAGAAAGAAAAGGGACAAACATAACTACTACCCACAGCCACAAGGGTTCTATGTGGTTGGGGTTGGCCCTCTCTCTCTCTGCACTCTCTTTTTTTTTCTTTTCTTTTTTTTTTCCCCCTTTTTGTTCCCAAATAAGCCCATAATAAGAGAATTCATTCCCCATGTTTCAGCTGAAACACAGAAAGCCAACACTACAAAACAATAACTATCAAACCCTCACAATAAACATAGTGTTCCACTATTTCAAACAGGATAAAGGGTCAGATTATTTTCTCAAAAAAAGGGGGCAAAAAGAAATTTTAAAAAAAAAAAAAATAAAAGAATGAAGAAAAAATGTGAGCTGTGCAAAAACATAGCAAGCATGTACTGCAATTCGGATCGAGCTAGATTGTGCTGGGACTGCGACTCTCGGGTCCACACGGCGAACTTCCTCGTGGCCAAGCATATCAGGACCCTCCTCTGTCGGGCCTGCCAGTCCCCGACCTCATGGACTGGCTCGGGCCCAAAGCTATGCCCAACTATTTCCGTGTGCGACAAATGCATCCACTCTGGCAACGAGAAAATGGATGATGGTGACGATGATGATGACGATGATGATGATGACGACGACGACGAGGACGAGGACGATGATGATGAAATTGATAGTGATGATGATGATGATGGTGAGAATCAAGTGGTGCCTTTGCCACCACCATATTTGGCCTCGACCTCGTCAAAAGAGAGTTCCAAGTTACCTTACAGTGTATGTTCTGAACTTTTCCTTCTTCAACTTTCATTTTAATAATCGAGCATGCATGTTAGTGATTATTGAGAAATTATTGAAGACTTCTATATATATTATCAAAACCTTTATTGTATTCATTATGATTAAGAAGTGCCATTAGTGATACCTCCTTGTTTTTTTTCTATTGCCAGATCATTAGGAGGCCGGAAGAGAATAATAAGAACGGTTCGCAAAACAAAATCAGGTCGTGGACGTGGCGATAGTAAGATTAGTGCGTGTGGCATGTGGATTAATCACGTTTTATCGTATGGTTTGATCGGTAATTACGTTGCTGTTTTCAACTTGTAATGTGTGATCGTAGAAATTTAAACTACATAATATTGTTATGTGGAACCCTTACTTTTCTTGGTCCTTCAGTGCATAATGAGTTGGGGAAATGCTATGGTTTCATTACGGTACCATTCTATTGAATGTTTTAACTGGTAAAACATTTGACGGGATAGTACCGTCCGTAGCATTTCTCGGTGAGTTGATAGCAACGCTGAAAGAGTATCTAATTGGAGCAGTGGAGCTCATATATATCACATCCAAATTTCCATCCTCAAATGTTAACCTCAAGATATCACATCAGCCCTTATAAATCAGTAGCAAATAACAAAACTGGTCCAACTTTATTTCATTCAATTGAAAATTTTATACTTATATGGGTGGCATTAAGAATTGTGCACGAACCTGAACATGTTGACCTCAAATCGGACAACCAAGTTTTGTTTTGTCTTCTTTTTATCTATCCATTTTAAGATAAGAGAATTGTTTCTATTACTTCCTCTGTGAAAAAGATAATTATTGAAATGCTCACCTATCCAGCGTGAGTACGTTAAAACGTGTCTACACTAGACATGTCCAGGTGCTGGGTCCGGGCCCGGCCCGCCGACCCGGGTCGGCGGGTGTCAAATGTTGGGCCCGTAATTGGCCCGGCAATTCTTATGGGCCGGTTCATTTGAACCGGCCCCGGCCCGACGGTTGAACTGTCGGGTTTAAAAAAAATATATAAAAAAACCAATTATACCCTTCAGAAAAATCGGAACCGGCGGGTCAAAAAAAATTTGAGAACCGAGACCGAACTGCATGGGCACGGTCCGATTCATAGGCCCGCACGATTCCAGACCGGTGCCGGTTCACGGGCCGAGCCCGACCCGTGGCCATGTCTAGTCTACACCAGTCATATGTCGATAAAAATCTAGCATTTTATTAATTTTATACTAGTACGAATTTCGAGCGATGCACGAGTAAGAAATATTCATTAATATTTACAAATTATAAATTTCAATGTTATCTGAAATTTAAATTGTGCAAAATCACATAGAACATGTCTATTTCAAATTATTATACAACCCGACAACGAAATGCAGCTTTAGTGGTAAGACGTTTCACATATGACTAATAGGTCATGGGTTCGAGTCACCGAGTAGGAGAACTGGGAACACTATTGATCCTCCATAAGAAAAAAAAAAAAAAAGAGATAACATTAGTACATAACCTCTATAGTACGTGCATGTAACAGATAATAAAATACATTATATTCATTTTAAAATAAGTGTATTTTTCTAATTTTTTATTCAGAAATTCGTTTTGACTACAATGTGATTCTATAAAATAATTATTTTTGTAAAATTTTATCATATATATTTAAAAATTTATAAGAATAATAAGTATAATTATAAAACTTATATTGTTTCATTAATTGAAATAAATTTATTTTTGTATAACCTATCCAAATAAAAAAAAAACAATAAAAAATTGGCTATTCCATTTACGTCCAAGTTAATATTGACCCATAAGTTATGAATAATTTGAGTTTTAAATTTGGAACTCAAATTTGGACTACACAATAAATTCACATATATATTTCATGCACACACACACACAATAATCACATGTGTGTGTGTATTTTAACTCATTTTACCTATTTATTCTCGGCCTTATTGTTCAATTTATCAACTAATTCTCTATAATAAATTACAAATTTTAAATTTTATTAATCAATACTTGTCCAATGATCTTTCTGATTTTCAAGGTGAATACATACTAAGTCGCCGAATAATTATCAATATCCTATGGAAAGTCATTATGCGAATACGCTAAAGTTTTAGAATCATATGATCTTGATTTTTTTTACAAATCAACCTAAAATTAGACTTTCACACCTATAACAAATAAAATTCATACCACTTTTTTTTTTCAAAATTTTGAAATAAACTTCTAACAATACACAATAAAATTAATACCATTTAAATTCAAAAATTTCATACAAAATTTAAATCGCCCACTTTATACCATGAATTCAGACATTATTAATAACAACAAATTGCATACAAAAAATAAAAATGTCATAGATAACTCAAATAAAATTGCAAATTTTATGCCAAAATCGAACTTATTAATTTTATACCATAAATTAATTAATTAATTTTTACAGGCGGAACTTTTTGAAATCTTTCCAATAAGATTACCAAGTTTAGTCATTTTCAAAATATAAGGCAGAATTTTAGTTTTTATTTCAGGTAAATACAGACATTTATATATATATATATATATATATATATATATATATATATATATTACTTTGAACTTTCAAATAAAAAATTATGTAACAAAATTATACCGTGGAATAATTAAATTATTCTCAACATATCAATCAAAGTGAAATTTCCATTGTGGACAAATAAAAATAAATATTGATTTAGATTGAAATCACAATATCATGATTTTGTTAATTCAAAATTATAGCCTACACTACAAAAAAAAATACACTACAATTCCAACGAAAAATTTCAACGGCAAAAATTTCTGTTGGAAATTCCAATGAATATTCCAACAAACTTAATTCTATGTTGGAATAAGTATTGGACAATTGAGGAATTCCAACGGATTTTTTATGTTGGAATAGCTGTAGGAACTTATTTCTATAGGATTTTCCGTTGGATATTTGCTATTCCAACGGCCGTTATTCCAACAGATTTTTATACGTAGGAATATCCGTTGGAATAGCTATTCCAACGGAAATATAAAAAATTCCAATGAAAAATTTTCGTTGGAATGTAAGAGTTTTTTTGTAGTGCTATACGCATTTGCAGAAAAGTTAATTGATGCACAAAAACATATTTAGTGATGCGAATTAAGAATGCAAACAATATATATCAATTTTTCTAAACGAGTCATTTTCATGAATCAGCTGCAAATTGACATAGATAAGCCACATATATCAATCTATACTTATATAATAAGATATCATATTTACCAAATTTAATAGGTTGAAAAATCAACGTAATTAATGCATTACTATTTCTATCCAAAATTTTATATAATTATTTTATTTATTTGTCTTATATCCCATAAAACCGGTTTAAGAAAAAAAAATCCCGTAACATCTTTACTAAAAAAAATAATTTTATATAATTATTTTATTTATTTTTATATAATTATTTTATTTTATTTTTTATTAAAAAAGTACCTAAAATCTTTACGTCAAAACATCGATTAAGTCAAAAACAAATCCCATAAAATCAGTGAAGTCAAAAATTGTACCTAAAGTCTATATCTATACTAAAAAAGGCATATTCAAAATCCTTATCTAATTCATTTTGTTATCTAATTGTATGGAAATCTGTTCTGATTTTGTTCAATCATCTAATTGTATTTGTCTTATATCCCATAAAATCGGTTTAAGAAAAAAAAATCCCATAACATCCGATAAGTAAAAAAATTACGTAAAATCTTTACTAAAATAAAAAATGCTTTATTTATTATCTAATTGTATGGAAATCTGTACTGATTTTGTTCAAACCGATTTCTGTATATTCAGATTTTTTCATAAAAATATTAACAACAATATGTATCTACTCTACCCATTATAAATTACAAATCTCAAAATATCGAGTCATTATCTTCCTCACTGTCAACATCATGCGAATAAAAAATGAATAACGCTACTTGTACAATTATTTTGTACAATTATTTTGTACAACATGATGTGTCATCATGTAGATAATTGAGATCTAAAAAAATGTGTGGCTAAGATTTGTTCAATGATTGTGATAACTAGTATTGTCAACTAATGTTGTCAACACTAGTTGTACATGTAGCATGACCCATAAAAAATATCCCCAATCAGTCTTTTATTCAAAACAATGAAGAAAGGATTTGACTTAATCAAACAAGTCAATAGGTCTAATAAACCTATGCTCAAAGTTCGAATTGTGAGAATATTTTTCCAAGACTGGGGCAACATATACAAATCATATCTCGAGTTGGTTCTGCATGATAAAAATGTAAGCCAAATTATTTGATTTTTTTTTTTAATTTCGAACTTTGAAACGTATATTTTTATATTTTTTTTATTTTTTTATATTTTCGTGTATGTATTTAGATATTTTTGTACATGTTTCGTATGCCATGACAATAAACAAGAGTTAGGGACAGTATTTATCTCACGTTGGCCTTTTTCTAAAGATACATGTCTTTAGCCATGACCAATGACATGTTGTTGTTTCGCGTATAACTAACAGAAGGGGGTTGAAAATATTAGTTTGTGAGAATGAGGAGTTGCCCAATAATGTGTACAAGGAGGTCTTTAATAATATATGATTGTTTCTTTGTCGAATACTATTTTATTGTACAATTTTCCTGCATATTGTAAAACTTTTATTGAATATTGCATCTTATAATATAATAATCCCCAAATAAATATATCTCGTGCCTCGCACAGGTCACGTACTATATATATCCTGTATATTTTTCTTTATTCTTTTATATAATTATAAGACTGGATAAATGACCTTAAGATTGTACACCCGTGCATCGCAAGAGCTCTGTACTAGTTTTGAAATGAACTAATCCCACAAATTAAGGAAAACATTTTTTGCTTTCCCATTTTACTGAATAAAAAATAAAAATAAAAAACTTACCTAAATTGGTAAGTATTTAATGCTAACAGAATTTGACCTGCATTTGACCTGTCATTTAAAAAAAAGGTTATTCTTATTATATATATTGATTATATTTTTTATTTATATATATTCGTAATTTTTAGAATTATCTCACTTTTCAATTTTTTTTTTATGTTTCTCATTTCTATTTTAAAATGAAATAAGATTTATCAAAAATTCTTTATATCCAAACACAACTACAACTATTAAACAAATGAGAGGCTCATGATGAGCTCGGCTAGTTTGATAAACGAGCTGAGTTCGAGCTCATCTAGTTAACAGATCGAGCTCAGCTCGGTTCGATATGTACAAGGCTCGTTAAGGTTTAAAAATATGAATTTTATATTACTTCCTACAGTTTAGATCCTTAAAACTGATAAGCGAGTCAAGCTGAGCTTGATTATTGACTTATTTATTTAGTTAACGAGTCGAGTTCGACTTGACTTGTCAAGAACTCGAGCTTGACCTCTGAGTATTATAAGCTCCAGTTCGACTCATTTACTCATTAAAAGTGGATATATTCTTACAAAATAAGGCACCTCATCAATATTATTACACAATTAACAAGTGAGAGTGGGGATTATTAGCATAAGGATATAAGTCAATGATGCCCATAAATTTTTGCCACTATAGAGAGATAGGATCAATAAGAAGCATTATAAGGGGTTCAAAAATATGTTTGTGGTGGACAAAGAATTGTGAGTATGGAGAAAATGGACTTTTGTGTGGCTAAGAGCTACCTCTTCACATTGTTCCAAAGTGGCTCTTGCACGTATATACCTTATTTATATGTTTTTATAAATATGTCTCATGGTCCAATTATGGGCAAGAATGACAATGATTTTATTCCATTTTTTCCGATTTTGGCAACCACCATTCCCATTATTTTAATTTACCGAATAAATTGTACAATTGTTTTAATTCATTTATTTATTTTTTGGGGGGCAATAAAATTGTACAAACAGCAAGCTATAGAGGATAAGATACGCAATTTTGCTATGAAGTCAACAGTCAACTTTCTATATACAACAAATAAATTATACCATATTAATGAAATTATTAGTATTACTTAAGTAATTAGAGAATATGGTATGGTTTACTTGTTGTATACAGAAGTTTGGCTCCACTATGAGTCAACTGTTGACTTTATAGCAAAACTGATAAAAAAATCGAGTTATTCTCTCCCAATAGAAAAAAATATATATATATTTGCAGCGATTTTTTTGCTTCTCCATGGTGCGATTCTTCACCCCAAAAATCGAGTTCACCCCCAGTATTCCAAATACATTTACGAATTCATTCTCAATTTCTGAAAAATTGGGCAGAGGGAGCGATGATTTTTAGGCGATTTTAGTATTTTGATCGGACACGCCAGCAAGATTGGCCGGAAAATAGTTTTGTGATAAATTTGAAACACATAATAAGGTCTGGTATTTATTTGCAAGAGAAATGTTCACCTACCCACGGTGGGCACAAGTTAATATGCTCACCGCGTAGGTGACATGCACTCATTGGTGATGTTAATATGTTTAAAAAAATACATCACCAATGAGTTCTATTTGCAATTACACCACAAAAGGGTGAGGATTTTATATGCAATTATAATTTTTTTAGTATGACTTGAGGAGCATGCCCTGTTCACTTGTCCAAGAGCTCGGTTAATCTGGAAACTCTCCCCTCTCTGCTGGGATGGAGTAGCACCTCTCAACCTGAACTTCAAAGCTTGGTGGACCAAGCTTTGCTCCATCACTCACTCTCATGCTGTAAATGACAGACTCCAACTAACTGCTTGCATCCTTTGGAATATTTGGAAGTCTAGGAATCAGATTGTGTTCCAAAATATCAGAAGAAGTGAGATGCATGTACTTTCAGCTGCCCTCAGTGACTGGTCTAACTCTGCCATAGCTTGCGGTGCTCCTACTGCTCCTTTGCTTTGATGTTTTTCTAGTTTGGTTTCTGGTTTTGGGTCCATGGTTGGGCTATTTCAACTGCTTTTGCTTTTTAGTGTCCATCCTCTTTTGATGTTCTTAGTTTTAGTTGGTTCGTTTGGTATTGGCTAGGATCTTGATCAGTGGTCATTACCCTTTTGTTCGGGATTGAATGCCATACTCCGGCCCCAGAGGGTTTGTCTCTGCCGGAGCATGTCCTCACTCCCTTAGTGTTTTTGTTGTTTTGTCTAGAACACCACTGTTGGTGATTCTCCATTTCCCCTCCTTGGGGTGTTGGGTTTGGTAACCCGTCGTTTGTAATTACTGTACTTTCTCTGAGCTATAATATCTATCGTTTCGAAAAAAAAAAAAAAAAAAGTATGACTTGAGAATTTTTTTGTAATATCTAGAGCAGTCCCACATGAACTTGTACATGAACTTGTACAGAATATGAATGGAATTGACAAGACATCATAATATAATATAATATAGCACACAATCAGTATCAGAAACTCAGACCGTATAATCCATCCAGCCCACTGAAGTTACACTAGTGACTGTCTACATCTGCTACCTTCCAATATTGTTCAGCAGGGCCCGAAACATTCCTATATTCCAAATCAATCTGCATCTGCTACCTTCCAATATTGTTCAGCAGGGCCCGAAACATTCCTATATTCCAAATCAATCTGCCCGTACTTTCAATATTTTTCAATTTTCGTGGTCCTCATTGCTTGCTTTGTTTCTTCTCATTCAGTTCTACGGTCCATAAGATTTCTAACACACAATCATCAAAACTATGGCTGCAGTTTTGATCCGGGCCCAGCTCGGCCCACAGAAAGGCTTGACCGACTCTTTTAGGCCCGTGAGTTGAATTGGGTCAGTTGGGCTGGCCCAACCTGATTACAATACACCGTGTTCCTATATATGGGTTCGACATAAGCTTTCGAACAATGGCCAAGTAACTTCAGGCCCGGGCCAACTTTACGGTTTGGCTTGATCATATCAAGTCGGTGGGGGCCCCGGGCCCTGCTAACGACAACATTAGAGCAACAATGAAACTAAGGAAATTGCAGATTTGCTAGAAAAGATTAACATAACAATACACGGAGAAAAAGAAGCCGGTTTTTACAGTAATAAATAGATTTAGATGTACTCAAGGCATGCTTGCAAGACCCTGTTGAACAATTGACTCGAAAATATTAGATCAAAAGCAGTGATCTTTCTTTTTTTTTTCTTTCCCAGGATTTGATGAAAAAAGAACACGCTCATCGAAAAAAAAAAAAGGCCATCCATTCGAACTTTTGAGGACTGAAAATACAGTAAAGCCGAACCACAACACAGACACATGGAAGAAGGGAGAGAAAAAAAAAAAAAAGCTCATACACAAACATGCTTTCTCTTTGATCATAATTATCCGGTCTCTGAAAAACCAACTCCTGCCATCATCTATACTCAAGATGATGCCTTCTCTGTATCTGCATTTTTGTACATAAGCTTAATAATTAGTTCTTAAACAATATTATACGTAAAGGAGTATTGACCTTGCATAGGATCATACACTCATAACCGTTAATATTTTCTACAACTTCTTCTTTTACTAATATGTTTCAACAAATTGCATTGCGTACCATTTCTCTAAGGAAACATATGCTTTTCACGCAGTTCAATAAACCATCAACCATCGATGTTCCGAAAGTATAATTTAGGAGTGTTCACCAATGAGTCCCTTAATTAATCTAATTATCACACACTCTCTTATGATTGCATGATTCATGCAATTAATAATTGCCATAAAGGAACTTAATATTTTAACATAAATTAAACAGGTCTATTTGTGCGGGACAAAAGAGAAGACTGTCAATCAAAGAAGTAGCGTGCCGTATCATAACGATAGCTTGGCCATTATTTCTCTTAGTACGCCAAATCAAAAGAGAATTACATTACTCCCACAAAAATAATTCGTCTTAGTACGCCATATCGAAAGTGAATTACAGTACTCACATAAAATAATCGGTCTTTTAGACTATAGTGAGAGATTCTACTAAGATGTAAGTACATTTGGGATACCTTTGCTTCATTGTCAGAGACTCGAGGTACGCACACTACTAACAAAAGAATTGCTTTTGAGGAATCCTCATCATCCCAAAAGCATAATCCTAAAATAAAAATCTTATGGCAAAAAATTGTACCACTCCCCTTAAACTAAGTAACACGGGTTACTTACCGATCAAAAAAAAAAAAAAAAAAAGTAACACGGGTTACTTGATACATCATCACAAATAAATGAACTTGCTAATCTTCCCTTGCACCCAAGCTAAGAGTATATGCCATAGAGAACATTAGTTCTCCAGCAGTGAACTTTTGAAAAGATCATTTCTTACAATCACAAATATCTAAAGTTTGCATCAGCTCCTACTCGCATCAAGCTTTATGCTTTTGACGCAATTTGAATAAAACCAAATTCCAATGTACGCTGTGAGTAAATAAATATAAGATGGAAATGAGCTTGACACACAATTTCGGAAAAGCACACAGTGGTCACACACACACACATGAATGATGTTCTCCAATGTTTCGGAATTCTCGTGTGGAATTTGGAGAAGCAAAGATGCTACTGTCAAGCATCATCACTAACATCTCGGCTAAATTCCCTCTAAACTCTTAACCTCACAAGGCAATCTCCTAACTTACAAATCATTCATAATCCAATCTTTTGCCTTTTATCACCTTTCCTTTCTCCGATCAGCATCACAAAACAAAATTTTCCAAACTCATTGCCACTCAAAACAATTAAGCATAAATAACCCAAATTGGAAAAGCGCAATCAATTCCAAAGATAAACAATTGTACAATTACCTGGATTCTTATCTGAAGCATCAAGATACACCGGCTCCTCCTCCTCAAGTACTGGAAGCAGTCCAGATGCATCCTTATCAGCCGCCTTTGCTGAGCCCGGCCCGCAATCATTGGCCCCTCCATCCTTCTCGTCTGGGAACCTCACGACTACTACTGGACACACACAGTGGTGCACGCAGTAGTCGCTCACGCTCCCCAGCCTCCCTTTGCTGCTCCTCCTGGATGCCCCGACCCCCCTGCTCCCCATGATCACCGCACTCAGCCCCAGCCTCTCCACCTCCAAGCACAGCCTCTCCTTCATGTCGTGGTCCTTCACGATGTGGATCTTGAACGGAATACTCGCCTCGACCAGGGGCTGGGACAGATCGTTCGCCTTGCTGGCGGTGAAGTTATCGAAATCGGACTCCAGCTTCCGCTTCGACCGCTCGTCGCCGGCGCCCTCGACGGTGATATCAATGGCGCCCCAGTCGGCGCCGTAGAGGACGGATGTCGGCCGGACGTGGAGGAGGATCACGGCGTCTCCGGGGCGGAGGTAGTTCTTGACAGCCCACTTGACGGCGAAGGCACTCTCGTCGCTGAGATCGACGGCGATGGCGATCTTGCGGTGGGCGCCGGAGGTGGGCGTGCCAGGGGGGAATCTGGGGGAGACAGGCTGGTGGAGTACGGCGTTCGCCGGCGGGGAGAGGTCGCCCGTGCCGTGGGATTTGCTCGGCGATGCCATGCAGGGTCGGAAGGGATTGGATTTTTTGAGGTTATTGGTGGTGAGTGGTGCAATCGATTGCAAATTGGATTTAGGGATTTGATGATCTTAGGACATATTCTCGCTTGTGAATTTTGATTGTGAAATTTGGCTGACCTCTTTCGAGTAAGAACTATGGTTTGCAGGAATGTGAACTCGTTGCCATTGGCGAGCAAGAAATGTTAGTGCAGGTGGCCAAATGCCGGTTCCGGACCGGTTCAGTTCTAACCGTCGGTTGAGCGGTTCAAAATCAAAACCGGCGGTTCATTTGTGAAAAAATATGAAGGGGCAAAAAAGTAAAAGTAGATATGGCCAAGGGCTGCTTGGCCAGCCGACCTGACACAGACTCGTCCCAGTCAAACCCGTTGACTACAGGTCTAGGATCGGACCGGATTTCAGACGAGCCGTTTCAAGGTCATCAATTTCATGACCTGTCTGGGCTCGGTCGAGTCTTTGTTATTTATAAAAGACGAACCCGGGCCGTATCGATGGCCCGCTTTTCTATTGTTTTTTTTGTTTAAAAAAGACCTACACGAGTGTAGGCCCGTGGCAGTCAAGTGTTTTCGAGCCCGATGGCCCGGCAGGCCGAGCATAACCCGGTCCGGGTCTTGGCCACGTTAAAGATAAGGTTAGCAGTAGCGATTTAGCATAAATTTGGGCATTTTTCAGATCAGATCTAGTAATCCTGCCCGCAACCCTAATTCACTTGAATTCTCTCAAAAATTGGGTTTTATTTTCCCCCAATCTAGAAGAAGAACAAAAAATGCCTCAGAGGCACTCGAAGAACAATAACGATTTAGCATTCTTTACGTACGACGAGAAGCGGAAGCTAGGCTATGGCACGCAGAAGGAGAGGCTCGGGAAAGACTCGATTAAGCCGTTTGATGTCTGCAGTCTCTGCTTGAAGCCTTTCATCGAGCCCATGTCTTGTCTCAAGGGCCATGTTTTCTGCAAAGAGTGCATTCTCGAGTGCCTGTTGGCGCAGAAGAAAGACATTCAAAGGTTCTTCGTCTTCGTCTATTTTTCCCATCTATTCCCTTTTGCGCCTGCGGTTTTTATTTTGGGCTTTGAGAATTTTTTTTTTGTTTTTCTTTCTTCTGTCGATTATTTTTGTTAAGTATTGTGGCGTGTTAGGCTATGGAAGTTTATTAGTTGTAGCATTAGAGATGGTTTGACAGCTAGTCTGAAATGGGGCTTTTCACCCCATCACACACACACACACACACACGCAGAGAGAGTGAGAGAGAGTAGCCCAGTAACTAATCGACGTGGTACAAACATAGCTGTGGCAATCTGGGATCATCATTCTCATTTATGTTTTGCATCTGAGCAGCTTGTTGTTCTTACTCACTATTGTCTTCGAATTAGGCTATGATCGTATCCATCTAGACAAGTCGGATAAGAATTCTCTGATATGAGATTGAAGATATAACTATGATGCACAAAAGGTCTGTCAAACGTTTGTTGAGGATTGAATAATCGAATGGGAGTAGGTGCAATATTTTGGGTAGACTGGTGATTGTAGATTGGAGCACATCACGTTTTCTTTCATTTGTTTTGTTTTCAGAGTGATTAGTGTGAAGACAAAGTTATTTGAAGAAAAAAGAATAGCTTTTGGTTATGTAATTTGTTATGAGATGTAAATATCATTACGGTACTTGATGCGACTCGTTTTTTTAGAAGAAATTATGGTTGGAAATCAGATGAATACTGCGAGTTTTGACCTTCTCTGGATTTTGATTTTTCACTCAAAAGAAATAAAACTAATTTCGTGGAAAAATTACAAATTGAGATCACAAGCAGGGAAAAATACACACTAAAAGCCATCCTTTTTCCTGCAGCATGGTACTGCAGTGCAGTTAGTATTTACACAACCTTTTGCCCTTAACCCTTTTTTCGAAGAAAAAAGGTTTCATTTTTATCTCGAAAAGTAATTTCTATCTGGTATCTGTAATTTTGACCTGCAGAAAGCAAGCGGCCCACGCTGCCCAACAGAAGCAAGAGAAAGAAGAAGAGGAAGAGAGGCTGATGCTGCAGAAGGCCCGCGAGCTCGAAGCTTTTGACCAGCAGAACCATGGGGCGATACCCAAGTACAACGACAAGGGCCACAACAGCACGGACAAAAATGAGTTCCACGGGGCCAACAGCGTGAAAACCACTTCATACGAAGAGGAAGCCCTCCGAACCATGAAAGCCTTCTGGCTGCCCTCGGCCACTCCTGAGGCCCCCAAGAAAGTGGCCCCACCTCCCTCCGATACAGTCTGCCCGGAAGGCAAAGAAAAACTCCGGATGAAAAATCTTTTCCCCATTCATTTCACGGAGGATACTAATGATAAGCAAAAAATTCGCTCGAGTTCCCTTGACAAAACGTACATCTGCCCCAGCTGCAAGGTCACTTTGACCAATACACTTTCGCTCGTGGCCTTGAGTTCCTGTGGGCACGTGTTCTGCAAGAAGTGTGCGGGTAAGTTCATGGCCGTGGATAAGGTGTGTTTGGTCTGTGACAAGCCTTGCAAGGAAAGGAATCTCGTAGATTTGGTAAAGGGGGGAACTGGTTTCGCGGGCCATGGAGATCATTTGGAGGCAAAAGACTTCAAGCACTTGGGGAGCGGATCGGGCCTTGGGCTTGTTAGGCCTGCCATGAAGACTTGATCTTGAGATGTGTTTTCTAGTTGGTTCGAGCTGTAGTGTAAACCCGCTTTCATCTTTTTTTTACTTGTTATATTTCTGAACATGCCTGCAATATATGAATATTCATTGTTCTAGTTATATCTTGCTTGTGATGTTTACAATTTGGTGAAAAATCATGATGACCTTTTTTAACAATCGTTATCTGTCGAGTGTATCGGTTCTCATGGCAGTTAGTTTGTTGCTAACACATGTTGTCTGTATCAATGATTCAATTCTCTCAAGAGCCATATCTGTCTATAGATTTTTATCAATTGACAGTTGAACTCATCACAACATTGTATCATTGTGTATTGCTCACATTTTTAATCTGTTGGTTCTTCTTGTTGTACATGCTTTGCAGAAGGATGTGAAAACCATGTGGGTCAAAAAGGTTGGATTTAAATAAACCCTATTATTAATAACAACAACACTAATTATTAATTAGCCCTAATTGCATTGACGAGTAATGCTCCCTACCCACGGTGGGCACATGTTAATATGCCACCGCTTATGTGGCATGCACACGGTGACGTTAATATGTTCAAAAAAATACATCACTAACGTGTGCATGCCACATAAGCGGTGGACATATTAACATGTGTCCACCGTGCGTATGGAACATTACTCTTGCATTGACTACTTGCCATGCACAACTGATATAGAACTTGATAAGAAGCCTGTCACCAACTGTCCTCCACAGTTGACCACCACAAAAAAAAAAGTACCAAAAAATTTCAATAATTCACAATTGGTTGGCTCAATCATAGCCAAGCTGTTAGACTTTCTTTTTCATATCACTTTGAACTGATCCTGAAGGAATGATATCAAAATAATAATTAATTTCTTTAATCACAAACGTCCACATATAATTGTTTTATTTAACCAAATATGATGATAAAAATCGAAATCCTAATCTTGAATGCTAGGCCAATGATTTAAATATACGTAGCCCCATAATACGGATGAGGGGCACCTACGGTGCATTTTTAAACAGCACTTATTGTGCCCCCTCCCCCACCCTTGGATCATGTTACTTAACATGATTCAAGGGTGGGCGAGGGGACACCGTAGGTGTTGTCACCGCAGGCGCACCTCGCCGCCATAATACTCGGTTTTCAGTTGTTGGTCTAGTATAATACATACACAGCTAAAATGCTGGATAAAATACCGGTTCAGTAAATAAAAAAGATTAAACAATAAAATTAAAAGAGAGAGGTTTAATTAAATTGAAAATAAAACTTGAAAAATAGTAGTCATATTTGTAAGTTTTTTTAGGTTAAGATCTAGTGAATATAAATATTTTTTTATATTTATAATTAAAATTTATATATATTATTACTTTGTTAATTTGATAATACCAATGATATTGTAAAATGTACCCGTGATACCGTGTAGCGTGAACAAACTATTAAGATATTTACGAATATGTTTAGTAAACACCACAAACTAGCGAATGGCTTATTTAGATTATAAACTTATTGTATTCAAATAAGTTCGATTTGCATGACATGTTCTTTTAAAAGGTTGTAGCTTGTCTCACAAACTTGGCTAAGAAGCTTTTCAAAAAAGGCCGTTCAAACTTTCAATTGAATTGACTTATAAGGCTCTGTTTGGTAAGTATGGTTGATAAATTGATAAGTTAATTGATAATTGATAACTAAATTTTGAGCATGTAGATGATAGTTTATGATTGATGACTGAAAAACTAGTTAATATGATAAAAATATTTAATATAATTAGCTGATAACAATTAGAATAAAAAATTTCAATGAGCTTTACCCAAGGGAACTTATTTGAAAGGCTACCCAAGCTCGAGCTTTCTTTAAATACACTCGTCCTATCAAACTAAACCTATTTCTTACAGATAACTTATAAAGTAACAAAATATGTTATAAGCGAACTTACGGTATTTATCAAACAAACTATAAACTATCAACTATCAGTTAGTTTTTAAACTAGATATATAAAGATGCACTAAAAACAATAAAAAGATAGTTAGGCCATTGGTATGAACAATCCAAAAGTGAGTATAGTGTGTGAAGTATTTGCACAAATATGTAATGGGATAGAATTTTATTATATTTACAAACCTAACCAACTTGAAAACATTATCATCAATCATCATTGTAATCACATTCACAAAGCAGAACAAGTGCATAAGAACACGTGGCAGCATCCTCACCGTTCAATATCTTTTTTGACGCTGGCCCATCGTTAAATATTGAACTGGCGCCAATTGGTAGGCAGCCAGCCTCCATTAATATTCCCCTTTTATAAACCAGAAAAATCCGCAGCCATTATCTTCTTCTTCGCCATTATTATCGAATAAAATCTCTAAAGGATTTGTGCATCGCATTTCAATCAATCAGGCCAGAGTACCCAGGAATTCCGCTGTCCTGTCGAGAGGGTTCGTTTGCGAGGACAGGAGGCGGCTGCGGACGATGGCGGAGCAGGAGAACGGGCGCGGCGGCGCGGCGGCGGAGGAGGAGGAGAGGCTGCTGGTGGAGGATGTGGCGGTGCTTGATTTCGACATGCTCTGCGCGACGGTGGCGATGCAGGCGCACAAGGGGAAATGGGGGAAATTGAACGGGGGGAACGGAGAGGATGATTTTGCTGCCGGTTATTATCAATACGGCGGCGGGGTGCATAGAATGTGGGAGGGAGAGCTAGTTAACGATTGCTTGGACGATCGCCGGATTGCTCTCCAATCCACCTGGTATTCAATTGTCATCTGCATTTTCTATTTTTTTTTTTCACCTTTTTGCTTTTTTTTTTTTTATTTAAGATGTGAATTTCTTGGAGGTGCTCGTACAGTTATTTTTATTTTATTTTATTTTTTCTGTGTGCATAAGTGCAATTTTTTTAATTCAAAAATATATATTTGTTTTTCATTTCCTTACTGTTTTGGTGAATTTCTAGTTAAAATATTGTCTGCAAATGTTGAGATGTGACCTTTTTGAGAAGAGGGGAAGAGAAAAGGAAGAAGGGAGCAAGAAAGAGTGTTATTTTTAGCTTAATTTTGGGGGCATATTCGTGGTTGCAATTACCCGTGCAATGTAGAGATGATTTTGTTTTACTAATTGGGAGAAATGTAATTTGGTTTTATTTATTACTAAATTCGATTCCCATAATCATATCTCAAGTACTTGTATGCTTTGACTATATGCTTTTGGCATATTTTTTAACAGTGAGAGTCTACATTTGACTAGGGGATTTAACCTTTTGTAAGTTAAAGGAATTTGGTGATCTTTTGTAATTAGATTGTCCTTTGTTGCAGCTGTCCATGCTATAGATTTGGCAAGAATATGAAACGAGCTGGCCTTGGTTCTTGTTTTCTTCAGGTAATTATTATTTTCTCTTGGCGGAGTATTAATCGCCTCGATTCCAGCGCTTCAGCTTTTCTAATTTTCCTGTTATGTGACTTATTTCTTTTGTGGTTGGAATTTGGATGGCACTGTAGCCTGTTCTTTTTTAAACTTTATCTTGTCTAGATCAAATAGTGTTCTAATTTCATGTAAGCCGCATATGAATAACATTTGAGAGACTGTAAGAGAGGTCTCTTATTTGGCGAACGGTATTGTTGCTGGAGGTAATGTGTATAATGAATACAGGATATCGAAGTTCTGTTATTAACTAGTCAAAGTAGTTGAAAATTTCTTTCAGTCGATGCTTTTATCATTCGTTGAGCTTTACCAGTATTTTTGTCAGGGTCAATTACAACATTAAAAGAACTAATGCTAATTATTGAAAATTCAGCTATTTAACAAAATAACAGATTCCATAGACATTCTTCTTTTGCTCAAATTATATCATTAAAATGAGGTATTTTCTGGGTAATATTCCACCATAAAGCACGTACTTTCTTATTTTTTAAATGTTACTGGTGCTTTGTTGCCAGTAGACTAAATTTGAGGGCCATTTCTGTAATTATCCATTTTTATTAGGGGTTTCTTGCAGTGCTAATAAGTGTTTGAATTTGAACTGTGCAGGGATTCAGTCATCTGATTCTTTCCATCATCGCCCTATGCAATCTGCTTGCATTTGTAATTACTAGAAGATGCTACTTTCTGTACTTGGCCATTTCTTTTGTGCTCTCAGTTGGAATATATCTCGGATATCACCGTATGCAGATGAGGAAAAAGTTCAATATAAAAGTAAGAATTTCACTTCTAGAACTAATTCAAATTATACAACCTCAATACTCTTACACCATTCTTCACATGACATGGTCTATTCACTTACACTAGTAAGCACGACCTTAGTGATTTCATGCCATGAAAGAACCAAGCTGATTCAGAATAATGCCATACCCAATTTGATTTACATTAGTCCAAATCTTCAGTATATATTGATTTACCTTGTCTTTGACCTGCTCATTTTAGAAATGCAAATTGTGTCCAGAATTCTCAGTAGTTCTTTAATTTATCCTAATCTGATTACCTTTAAACAATATTCTGTTGAATATATAGCATAGCCATAGGTTCCAAATTTTGATATGACTCTTTTGATCATACAGGGCAGTGATAGTTCTATGGACGACTGTATATACCATCTTATCTGCCCGTGCTGCACTTTGTGTCAGGTCTGCGTTCATTTTGATATTAACTAGTTGTACCCGCATAATGCATATTACACAGGTGTTAGTTAAGAAATTTATATTTAAATTTAAAAAATAATGAAAAAAAAGTATGTTTTAAATTTCAAATACTTTTGTAAACAAATTTATTATTATCTATATTTAAAATAACCAAAGTTTTATATTATAATAACTTTTCTAACTTATATCGTATAATTACTTTATAGATAAATTTATTTGATAAATAATTTTAATTTTTTCCAATTCATAATAATAGATAATTTATATTTTATTATAAAGATAAATATAATTATTCATTTTACTTATTTTATAATAACAATATAGCTGTCAAATCGAAGCTCATGAATATGATATATCATATATGAAAATGTGATAACAAATACAAAAATTATTAACTTTTAAAATATATCTTCAATTTAAGTCGGTAAAGTGTTTTATAATTTTAAACTCCTAATAGGCATAGTGCACTACTTCGGAACACCATAAATTGACACATAGGATTACGAAGTACCTTAATTCGACACATAAGATTATTACACACGAGTGACTGGTATTTTTTAAGTTATCCACCATTAAGTTTTGAGAACTGGAGCAGGAATCAAGGACATTAGAGATGAATAATGTCCAAGATGGCACGTGGCACGGGCGAGGGGACACCATATGTATAGGAAGCTTATCCGAGGATACTAAACTTTGTTTGGAGTTGAGCCCACCTTTTGTTGTTTCAACAAAGTCTCCAGAATCGGTGAGCATGCAGAAAGTCTCGAAAAATGATAGCACGAATTTTACTACGACTCAAGTAAAGCATTCTTCTCTTTTGGTCCCACCACTCGATTGAGGATCTTGTTTCAATACATTGCGCCACAAGACTAAGTTAAAGTGCTCCAAGTTTTAGTTGGGGTGGTGAAATGCTGTTTGAAAATCTGGAAAAAATGAATGAATTTCCTTTGCATTAAAATATGGGGACCATGTCAAGATAATTGGTCCAGGCTTGATGTACATATGTAGATATTGTTAACTAGGGCTGCAAATGTATGTAGACTTTATAGAGATCGTTGAGATGTAACTTATAAAGTACTTATTTTGCCTTTCTCCTTAAGATAAGCATCTCACATTAAGTTGTTGAACAATAAAATGTTAGCCATGTAATTAAGTTGTAAAGTTCGTATAAAAATCATTTCTTTAGCCCATGATGTTCATTTTACTAGTTCTTCGCATTCTGTTCGAAAGTCATGTCAACTCAAATTTAACTTACAGAGATTTTGTTGAAGAAAATAAGTTTCAATTATATTGATTATATATTATCTTAATTTGGTTATTTTACTGTACATGAAGTTGTTGATGGACTGACATTTTTCTTTTTGTTTCACTGAATTTTACTGGAAAATACCTTCACTAAAAGGAACGACATCATTAAAGTTCAATCGCAGGTTTCCCTTGGCCTGAAACCTTGACAATCTAAAATGTTACCACAACCATATTCTTATAAAAGACTATAATATCTTGGAATTACTTTTTTCTTACTTATATGAAGCTACTTTCTTCAATCTGTAAATGGCCATGGCCACTCATTTTCTTACAGGTGTCTCTGATTCTTATGATACTATCTGATGAATGATTGATACTCCAATTTGTTATTTGTGGACCAGAATCTTAATATGTTTACTTGAGATGATCGACATCTGTTATTTCTGGAAAAGATCTTTAGTGACTTTACTTCTTCACATTTATCGAACTTGTTTCCTCGAAGGAAGGCTGTTCCGTGGCGACAATTTTGATCTGGTCCATTGATTTTATACCCTTTGGGATAAAGAGAACATGTTATGGGACCATAGCTTGCTTTAGCTGCTTACAGTTTACCTATCAAATATATTTTCATCTGGCATTTTGATCATGGGGTATCTATAAATTGATATTGGATGACTTTTGTGGGGAGAAAGCAAAAAAAGCACAAAGCAAGGAGTGATAACTTTATGACTGTACAAAACACCTTCTTGGGGTTGTTCTCTCTTTATTTTTGCAGGTGGAATTTACTTGTCAAGACAACAATTTTACCCCACCGTGAAGAAGTACCACAAAAAGTGACGACATTAAACACATCAAAACCAAAGATATTCTACACTGGAGACTATAGCTAGAACAGCACAGGTACTTGCAAATTGTCCACAATCTATGTTTTCCTTTTTCCTCATTACACTTAGCCTGAGTGGCCTGCAACAAGAATGAAACTTGAATACCAGATTAAGAGGATGAAAACATTTTATTCAAACATTCACCAGAAATAACCTTTTTAGCAATACTAGGATAAGTAAAATGCAAGCACAATGAACACAAATGCCACAATCAAACGGTACAATATGGATACATCAAACAATGCATGAAACAAATCTACACCTCTTGCATCTCAGACGATTTGCCGATTGAGAATTATCGGCTGCTCATATCTATCCAAGAGTGGTTCGGGTGATTTTTCCTTTTTCTGCGGTAACTTCTCGTGAACAATATTCCCCATAATCTTAGCAGCTAACGGCAAGCCATCACACTTTTGCACAACCAAATCCTTTAGCTCCTCCCCTGGTAAAGTCCTATCTTCCTTAACCTCATTCTTGAGGATCTCCCAGCAGTTATCTTTATTTTCGAGCGGAAAAATTTCATGCATGTTTTTCCCGCCAACAGTTTTCTCCACCAATTTAGCCGACCTGCTGGTCACGATCACCGCCCCTCCATTCCCTCTCGGCAGCCCGTACGAGAGTTTATTTTTATTATCCTCTTCTTCCCGATTTAACGAAGAAAAAAATGCCTGATCCTCTTCGTTCGGATTCCAGATATCGTCGAGCACGATCAAGTACTTTCTACCTCGCAATTGCTGCCTGAGCACGAAAAGTAGCCTTCGGACACTACCTTCTTCTTGGCTGCTGAGTCTATCTAGGACCTCCCTTTCAAACCCAAGACCCGTCAAGATCCTCTTTATGACCATCTCTTTATAAGAACTACACGTTTTATCGAGCTTGGGCTGTCTAGATAAGCACACCCAAATTCTCGGGAGAAAATGCTTTTCCACTTCGCTGTTATTGAAGATTGCCTGGCAGAGTGTTGTCTTGCCGACACCTGCCATCCCGAAAAACCCAAACGCCTTTAGCCCGCTTTCTGTCTCGGGCCTCACGAGAAGCCGCTCCATGGCCTGGTCCTCGAATCCGTAAATCTTTACGGTGTGGCCCAATAAACGGGTGCTCCACCGGTAAACTTCCGGATCATTCTGCGGAGAATTCGCTTGTGGGATCTCGTCAATATCCCTTCTGATTTCTTTGAGGATGTCTTGAATTCCTCTGACTGCACGCGAGGCCTCTAATATGCTCCATTTCTGGTGATTTTTCAAGACCAGAACGAGGTTGTTGGCAGAATAGAGCTTCTCTTTTATAGTTAAACTATCAGCCTGTGTTTGTTGGGGTAGTTTCTTCTCCACCAGGTTGTTGGCAGAATAGAGCTTCTCTTTTATATTTAAACTAACAGCCTGTGTTTGTTGGGGTAGTTTCTTCTCCACCAGATACTTCAAATCTCTCTCGATTCGAGAAAACTCTCGAGCAAAATGGCTGTAACTAGGGAAGTGCTTAGCTTCTTCGATAGCATCTACAAGTTTATTGAGCAGAAATGTTTCTATCAAAGCCATTTCTTTCAGTTTTTCGATAGTGAAGAATGTGGAGAGATTATAGGATGGTTTTACTAATATATTCTTTTGGTTTTTTTATTATTTTTTTTTATTATTTTTTAAATAGATTAATGGGACAATGAAGAACAATAGGTCATTTCTGTTCCTTTGTGTGAGTTAACAAAGGGATATAGACAGATATAGACTGGTTTGAGGGATTGTTTCGTAAGTGGGGACGAAAAAGAAAAGCAGCAACATGAGTAAAGAGAATGATGAATCGAGCAAGCAATTCTTTTTATGGCTTGAGGCATCAGTCATTCTTTACTAGCCTGGGCATTTTTCGTTATTCTTTTCAGGATGTCGGCTTTATTCTTCTTGGGTTTGCTTCATGTGCACGGCCATAAGCGTGCCACAACCAGCGCTTGTCGAAATATCCCAATCGACCCAAATTCTCTGTTGTGATCAAGTTAGCATGTGAAAACTGGTGATACCGAATAGGCGTTTTTTTT